TTATCAAGGAAAAATTAGAAGAAAAAATTTGTTGATTTGTCAACTATTTGCTTAAAAATTCAATTAGTTGATATCCTAACAAAATATTGTCTCAAATAAAATATTCTTACAATATATTGTCAAGTTGAACATATAAGATTTATATACACCAACTTAAGAGAAAATGTTGAGATTTAATTTTTTTTATTCTCTTTTTATAATAGAGAATAAATATATCTCAATTTATATTTATTAATTAAAAATTATATTTCAATTAAATTAAAATAAAATTTTTCTAAAATAATTTAATTAAGACTATTAAAATAGGTGCAATTGGATACATAAACAATTTTTTTTAAAATAGTTAAATTATGTAAGAAAATATTATGATATAACATTAATTTTTTTAAAATAGAATCCATCGCTATACCAGTGAAGGACATATATTTAAAATTTATATATTTAATTGGAATTAAATGGGCCCATCAAATTTAATAAAATAATATTTTTATAATATAATAAATATATAATAAATTAATTAGTAATAACATTATTTAAAAAAATAAAAATTATTACAATGATTAAAATAAATTATAATAAATATTATAAATATAAAATATATTAGATAATATATGATAAATAATAGATAAATAAGATAAAAATATAATAGAATAATTATATTTAAAGTTGATGTAGATTATTAAAAATTATATTAAAAAAATAAATTATAATTTTTTTTACTAAAATTGGTTCGATTGAAAAATTCAATTGATTTTATCAATACCACTTTAATTAAAATTCATTTATAAAATATTAATTTATAAACCGATTAAATCAAGAATATGATTTTTAAAATATTAAAACTTTTTTCATCCAATCAATTTACCCTGTAACCTGAATAGGATTAGGTTATTAGGCTAGTATATTTCGAATTTATTTTATAAAATAATATTTTATTAAATTATATATATATATATGTATGTATATATATATATATATATATATATATATATATATAAAATTATTATATTAATATAATGTAAATTTTAAAAATATATTTTTTATTTTATTTAAAATATTTCTATTTTAAAAAAATTAAATAAATAAAATAGATTAGTGATATATATATATATATATATATATATATATATATATATATATATCTTATTTTGATCTATTATTATTTTTTAATTATTATTTATTTAATATTCTAATAAAATTAATAATAAATCTCTTAAACTTATTTTGAATAAAATGATCTTTTTATATAAAATTAAATAAAATATTATTTAAATGTAAATTTTATTTATTTGTTAATTTAATAATTAAGATAAATTGTTATATTAAATTATTAAATTTAAAAATTATAAATAAATAAATAAAAATGAGAACACGATTATTGACTACTTCTCAAAAAAATCCATTTTATTCTCTTTTTACCCTAAAGTTAAAGAAATTTAATTCTTTTAATAAAATTTTTATATTTTTATTTGTTTACTACATATTACATATTATAAATGATAAAAAATTATCTAGCATATAAAAATTTAAAATAAAAATAACTAAGATATGAAATTTTTCGGAAAGAGATAAAAAGATTATTTTATAGATATTTTTAGAATATTTCTGTTTGAACGCAAATAAGAAGAATAGGAATCGTATTCTATATTATTCAAAATGCTAATTAATGCCTTGGACATTGTAATTTGGAAATTCATTTCTTTTTTCTTAATTTTTATACCCTAAAGGAAGCCATATATATTATGTTAATAGTATCATTGTTTTTAACACACTACTTATGTCAATTCTCAATATGTTAGTAATATCTATTTCAGAAGAGACATAAAAAATGATTTTACTAGATAAATCAACAGTAAAACGTAGTAAAAGTACAAGAAGATGTTTCTAGCCCTCCTGGGGTAAGATGATGGAAAATTAAATTCCATTCAAACAAGCAAACATTGACTAGGTAGAAAATTCCATTCGGTGCCGTCGCTCATTCAAAGATAGCACATTACTAACCCTCAAGCATGGTGCAGTGTCACTCACTGGAGAACAGTGCAGAAACACTTAGCAGAGTAAAGCCCATATCCCAAGACCCTCGAGATGGCCAAGCATTGAATTCTTCACAACCCCCACCAACTCAACGCTCCAAAAAACAAACTCTATATAAACACCACAACCTTAACCCTAAAACTCACCAATCAGCAATCAGTTCACCTTCAGAATAATTTCCACTTTGAGAATGGCTGGTGTTAAGTTTGCATGCGTGGTTGTGTTGTGCTTAGTGGTGGCGGGTGCACACACTGCCCAAGGAATTACGTGTGGAGATGTTGACCGTGACCTAACACCGTGCATAGGGTTCCTTCAGAAAGGTGGGGTTGTTCCCACAGGATGCTGCAACGGGGTGAAGACCATCCTCAACAGCGCCCGGACCACTGCTGATCGCCGCGGCGTTTGCAACTGCTTGAAGACTGCTGCTGGCGCAGTTCGTGGTCTCAATCCCAACAATGCTCAGGCTCTCCCTGGGAAGTGTGGGGTCAACATACCCTACAAGATCAGCACCTCCACCAACTGTGCTAGGTATGTTTCTATTGACTTTGAGATAATGAAGCGCATTCCTGAACATAACTTCTCGTGTGTATCAGAATATCAATTCATTTCTTTGAATGAAATAAAAAACATTATTGAAAGAGAGAAAGACAGATAAGGATATGGACTCACTGAGGTATGAACTTTGATTTTGATTTCGGAAATTGGAGATATTCATTACTTGTTACATATCTAGCATTTTCATTTATAATCCGTTTTCTATTTCTTTTCATACCACTTGAAAATAAGGTTAGATTTGACGACAACATTAAATGCACCAAACCCGTTTCCTATAAATATATATACGCAGATATGACCGACAAAAGTTACGTGTCATGTTTTTCTCTTTTAAACCTAATGGTAAATTAAATTGTATTCAATTTCATGCCTCTTTGCGCATTATATATGTGTCGGTTCTTTCTTCTAGAACACCTGGTAATGGTAACTGCAAGTGAGAATCCAAATTCTTATTGATATGGATGGCTTCTGCATTTAATTTGTCAAAAGATGATAATATTGTTTTGAGGGCTTAAACCTATCTTAGTTGTTCTTGTTATCACTTTTTAAGCCTTTCTTAATTGCTTGGTCCTTTGACTGATGCACATCAAGTAATTAAGCTATAGTTTACACTCTGATTTTTAAAGAATAGAGACTCTACATAGCATGAGGGCTATCTCTAGTTTTGTAGGCCAATATATAAATAAAACAAAAAAGTAATAATGGTTGTTTTCTGTTTTGCAGTATCAGTTGAAGGTGAGAAAGATTTGGACGATAAATTGGCAAAGAGAAGCCATGCGCAGAATACGTGTTGGTAAAGAGAATAAAAGGAAGATATAAGGTCTCCGTTTATGATAAAGCTAGTGTTTTGTTTTTATGTTCTTTAGCCCACGGTTAAGTTTATACACTTATGTGGTTTTTATGTGACGCTTATAAATTAAATAAAGAGAATTTGATGTTCAGATAATGATGTAATGGTCATGTATTGACGTGAAACATTTTATGCTAATTATAGTACAATGTGGAAAATTACAGGTTTAATTACGTGATGGTCTTTTTATTTATTTAATTTATTTTAGTTTCATTTATAATATTTTAAAAAATAAAATGACAATAATTTTTTTATTCACTTAACAGGGTGATTTTAATATGTAACAAATACTATTTATAAAACTAATAATAATATAGTAATTTCAGCGACAGTATTCATTTCTTCCGAATAGGTTTTAAATTTATGAATACCTTTTAAATTTATAACCAATCAATGGCTATAATTTTATGCAACTAATAATATAATTTCAATTAACAAACATAGTTACATTGTTACATTTATATATAATAATAATAATAATAATAATAATAATAATAATAATAATAATAATAATAATAATAATATAATAATAATAATAATAATAATAATAATAATAATAATAATAACAATAAAATTTCAATTAACTTGTTTTTAAACCTACTAAATTAATGAAGGAATTGATTAAACATTTTTACTAGAGAAGATTGTTTTTTCAATTTTAAAGAATTTCTTAATTTTCATAAATTGATTAATAATTTTTAAAGAATTGATTAAATATTTTATTAATAGAGAGACTAAATTAAACAAAATAAATAAACAATAAAGAGACAAAATAAAATAAATTGAATAACAAAAAATTATTAATTGTATTTTAATCTGGAGCTAATAGTCTCTTTTTAATCAAATAAATTAAATAATCCTTTGTAAATGAGTCAGTTTTTAGAATTACAAATTAATATTTTGAGTTTTAAAGGAATATTAATTTCTTTTCCAATTTTGTCCATGTAATAATGAGTATAATACTTTTTTTTCTTTAAGTTATATGAAATTGGTTAATATATTGAGTGGATGGAAAGTGAGAAGGAAAAATAAATATTTTGATAAATTGTTTCGCTCGTGCTATTTTTTCAAATAGCACTATTTGAATGGAATATTTCATAAGTAGCATCTTCTTCAAATTTACCTCAATAGCATATATTTATTAAATCAGACGAAAATATTTAATAAATATGAATATTAAATATATATATATATATATATATATATATATATATTAAGTATTTATTTATATAATTATATCAAATAAATATAAATATAATTTTTATATATCATATAAATAAATTTTTATAATTATACAATTAATATTATATATATAATATTTAAATATTTATTTATATTTTTATAAATATAATAAATACATGTATATTTATAAATTTAATAAATATATATTTATATCTTTCTATAAATAATAACATAAATTATATATATATATATATATATATATATATATATTATTTAAGAATATTTTGAATATAATTTTAATAAATATAAATAATATTTCTTTAATAGAAATATATAAATATTTTTATTATATTTTAATATGTTTTTATATATTTTTATAAATAAGGTAAATACATATTTATATTTTCTTATATACATTATAAATTTATTAAATAATATATATATATATATATATATATATTTAAATATTTAATAAATACATTTTTTTATATACAAAATAACTATATTAATTTTTATATATATATAGTAAATAAATATATAAATATACATATTTATATATGTAAAACATTTGTTTATATTTTATATATAATAAATATAAATATATATTTTATATATAATAAAAAGATATTATATAATACATATTTTTATAAATATATTTATACATTTAATAAATACATATTTATATTTTCTTATATATATATATATATATATATATATATGATAATATATATTTTTTAAATAATATTCAAGTATTTATTTAATAAAAAGATGTTTAGTAAATAAATAAAATATTTATACTAAAAATAATTTTATTTAATTTCGATATAATATAAAATATATTTGGTATAAATATTTTGTTAAAATGACATAGGAATAGAAATTTGAATTAGATAATTTGAGTAAGATATACCATTTGAATTAAAGTGAATTGATATTTTATATATTAAATTAATAAGACATGAATATGCAAGTTACAAAACCACAAATGAGTATAATCATTTTTTATTTATTGATTGTGATGTTATACTACAAAACTACAACAAATTTATCTATCGAAGTAGATCCCCTAAGGCCAGGGTTATGCGGACAATGATTTTTTGTGTGACTTGGAGTCTGATAATAGGAGCATTTTATTAGGTGACCTTTTTCGTGGATATCCAATTCAGTCCTAATTTGTGTTAACTTTGGACGACCCTTAGAACTTCTTGTTGTTAGATTGAGGCAAAGTTGTGGGTCTTGACGTGATGACTAATAATCTTCGTATCTAAGCTCCCCAAACAAATTGTCATGCACTTTGTTTACTACATCCAACTTGTAAACAGGATTGATGTAACAATAAAATTACCAGTGGGTCAAACTTCTCTTGAGTTGACGATCTCCTCCACCAAGAATCTTGTGCTTGCTTCTATCGAATTCAAGTACCCTATGAGTGTTTGATTTTGTATAAGTATCTTGTAAGACCTTTGATACAACTTTTGAATGGACATGACCAACATTAATCATTGTTGTGATTTGTCTCCCTCTTTTTGTTAAAAAATTGTTGCATCTTGTGTATGTAGCCATGACCATGGAGGAGATTGCAGATTCCTTGTTTTCTTTAGGACTGAATTGATGAATTCAGCTAAGTTGGTTGTTAGGTGACCCCATCTTTTACCATCATCATATGCAAGTGCCCATTTGTTCCTATGAATTTCATCAATCCAGGTTGCTGCTGATGCATGTTTATTTTTTCTCACATTTATAGATTAAATTAGGTCAATTGCATGCATTTTTGTAACAATTGAACAATGTTTTTATATTGTCGCCACTGTAACGCCGTCGTAAAAAAGAGGCGGTCGGAGCAACGCGATGGTTCCAACTTTCCATTTTTCGCATTTTTATGGGTGATGTTACAACACCTTTAGGTCGTCCGATAACCGGGTTGAACTTAGGGGAGAGGTTTTTGAAAAGGTGTTCTTGGATTGTCCGATAACCGAGTTAACCCAAGAACTAATTTGAAGGGATTCTTATGGAGTCGCCACCGATGTTTTTACCGGAAATATCGAAAAAAGGGGTAAAAAGGCGTTCATTTTCGAAAACCAACTTTGGTCGTTAAAACCAGAGTTTAGGTAAGGGAGTTAGTTACGTGTAAGGAAAGTGTTAGTTCCCTTACGACGCCCCTTTCGAGTTCCCTATGATAGGCCAACTATTTTATAAATAAACTTTTGAAAAGACACTTTTACCCTTTTATTTACGGAATTAAAGTAACAACTACATGGCCCTAATGTCTATTATGCAATTTTAATCATAAAAATAAAGACAGTAAAAGAGAGGCAGAGAGTGAAGAAACCTCCGAAGCAAGTTTTTTAATTAATTCTCTGAAAATTAGGGTGCGTTTTGGCAGCCCTTCGCTCTTTACAATGTCGAAAACCTCTCAGAAACGCTATAAAAACTCTTAAAAAACTCTCAGAAACTTCAGAAATGCTTCGGAGGGACTCTAGGAAGAGAATTTAAAGAAATTGTAGAAGGGAAAATGGAAGAACTGTGTGAAATGAAGGGGGGAGCACTCACTATTTATAGGGATTCGCGCCTGTCTGGTCGACATGGCCGTCTCGTCTGACAAGGTCGTGACGACCATCTCGCCATTCGGGACGACGGTCTCGACTTGCAAAAGTGGTGAGACCGCCGTCTCGTTTGGCAAGACGGCGGTATCGACTTTTCCAGAAACGAGAAGGCCTTCTCGCCAAATGGGAGGGGAGTCTCGCCATTCACAAGTGGCGAGACGGCCGTCTCGACTTGCAGCAATGGTGAGACGGCGGTCCCGAAAAGCGAGACGGCGGTCTCGACCTCTGAAGGCAAAAATCCTTATTTTTATACAAAAAAAACCTTCCTATCCTAGTATGGGGCCTAATAGTCTCTCCTAGTGGCTTCTCAGGCCTCTTCCATCTTCGAATAGGAGGTCTTTTGCTCTTATTTTGAGGCCGGACAAGATTTGGGGTCTACAGCTACCCCCCCTTTACCCGACTAGTCGATTGCTGGCTTGTCGTGCCGATTAGATCGAATGGAGGGTAAAGGAGTTGACCCTCTTGCCCGGTCACCCTTCGGATGTTCCGTCTTTGCGGCGGTTGATCTTTTGGGGAAAAGTGTGTTGTGCGCCTCCAGGATGCTCCTTCTAACGGTAGGTGATCCCTTCGGTTGATGAGTATAAACCCCCATCTGGTTTGATGAGTATGAACCCCCGCCTGGTAAGCCCCCTTTTGTAAGGCCTGATGAGTACACACTCCCATCTGGTGTTTGACGAGTATGAACCCCCGTCTGGTAAGTCCCCTTTTGTAAGGCCTGATGAGTACACACCCCCATCTGGTGTTTGACGAGTATGAACCCCCGTCTGGTAAGCCCCCTTTTGTAAGGCTTGATGAGTACACA